GGATGTCTCTTACAGACAGACGCGAGGAAGTAATAATCTTTAACTGTTTGGTTGTACTTTATTTACATTTCATTCTTGTTACTTATTTAATAGAATTCATGTTTTTTTAGGTGATATTGGACATTCTTGGGTTAGCACACCTCTATGGATTTTCAGAATTAGAAACTTCTATATCAGCTTATCTTAAAGAAATATTAAATATAAAAAATGTCTGCCTCATATTCGATGCAGCGCTTCTTTATCAACTAGAATTTCTCATCAGGGTATGTTAAAGATAACATTCAAATGAATGATTGAAAATATTTAATGTAATTAATTTATTCTAGGTTTGTCATGAGTACATGGATGAACATGCATGTGAAGTAATACAACATGAGAGTTTTTTGCAATTGAGTATCGATGCTTTGAATAAGGTTGTTTCAAGAGACTCCTTTTACGCACTAGAAATTGATATTTTTCTTGCTGTCCATGCTTGGTTAAAAGCAAATGTTGAGGCCGATGGCAAAAGTGTTTTAAGTAAATACAAAACAACGTATTCAAAATAAAAAAAATTTTGTATTTGATATATTTTAAAAGTACTTGCTATATTAATTATCAAATCGATTAAAAAAATTTGTAGACAAAGTACGTTTAAGCCTAATCTCAGTCACGGATCTTTTAAATGTCGTTCGGAATACTGGACTGGTTTCTGCAGAAGCTATTTTAGATGCAATAGCTGCGCGAACACAGACGCGTGATTCAGATCTTAATTATCGTGGTCGTTTACTTATCGATGTAAATGTCGCCCATCCTTTATATGGTGCTCAAGTTCTACAGGGTGAAATGCGCAGTTATCTCTTAGATGGAGATACGAATAATTACGACATGGAACAAGGGTAATTTGTTAAATACATTTTACAAGCTATTCATTAAACTAACGTTATTTCTCTTATCAGGTATACTAGACATACGATTACTGATTCGAGAGAACACGGCATTTTAGTTAAGCTAGGAACTCAGTGTATTATAAATCATATTAAGATGTTACTTTGGGACAAAGATATGCGCTCCTATTCTTACTATGTAGAAGTAAGTTGCAAGAATATGACTATGTAGTACTCATATAAGCCTCGTAAGGTACATGTATACGTATCTGCATGTATACAATGTATGCATCAGACCATTTACCGGGCGTCATGGACGACATGATGGACATGGATCATGGACCATGGACTTACCATGGACTTGAAGAACGATGAATGAAATTTCTGATAAAATGAAACTAGGGATCCCGCGATGCGAACCATTGGCAAACCTGCATCGCTACATTCGCTGCCCTTCCGTATAAATACTTCCGTTTTTATTTTTTATGAATAGGACATAGGGTAGTTTTGTCTCTCTTTACTGTTTGTAAGTTTATGATATTTGTGTCTGTGATTATGATCGACTATGCATATGTATATAATATATATGTATCTATGCATGTATAGCATCTTTAACATAGCATATAGCGAAAAGAAGTTGAAAATTTATACAAATTGACTTAGTTATTAACAGAAAATTATGTATTTGCAAAGCGAACATATTTATTTCATAGTGATTTTGTTAAAATTTAATTTCACATGAG